GCTTTGAAGAAATCTGTTCTTATCTAATCCCAGGTTTCTTATGTATCTACTTTCCCCATCGTTCACTTTAATACTGTTTTTTTTCTGTTAGCAATATGTATGAAACAGGTTTAATACTATGTATAGCATTCACTGATAATAAATTATGGAATTAGAGGTATGACAAACTTTAGAGGAGGTAAGAAATTATTATTGGAATTAGCTACAGTTTATGTTTTAGGTGCACATGATTTATTCAGCAAGTCTGCATTGATAAAAGATGATTTTGATAGTCTAAAACCTTACATAAAAGCTTCACTTTTTTGATTTAAAACAATTGAAAAATCCTACACCTTAGAAATTGCAGCTTTTGTCATAGTTACTTAATTCAAAAGAGCAGTAAGCTAGATTTTCCTCTATATTCATATCTATTCATCTACCAAGGATATGTTAAACTCAGACCTGTTCCTGCTGTTGATTAGGTTTTCGATCCACTTAAACAATCCTCTGAGACTTCATGACTTCTAGAATTGTCCTTTATGGTTGCATTTTGCAAGTTCCGTTTCTCAGAGATAAAAAATGCAAAATTTGAAGTACTAGTTTAACTTCATGGAGAAAATATAAATAAAGCAAAAGATATTTTCTTCCTGCTAGAACCATCGATAGCTTTATTTGTATAGCGTCCATATTGGTAGTTTTATGAAGCTCTTGAATGCTTTTTGAATAATCAGAGAGCAAATTTCAAATAGTTCCTTTTTTTAAAACAACTTCAACATTAGTTCAAATATTACGGTGCTGTTTTAAATTAAAAAAAATTAGAAGTGTATAGTTGAGTAAATGAAGTACTAGTTAATTAGTGCTGTTCTTGATAAACCTGTAGTTGATAAATTGTATTAGTTAAATTATAGGAAAAGTTTCACAATAGCTTAATAAAACCCAAGCCCCTTAATTATAGTTTAAAATGATTGTAATCTAATCTGGCGTAGCATACTATATTAAATTGATCATTGCCTTTTCTGCTGTGCGATATTACACTCTTCATCTTTCTCATTCATTTTGCATGCATCTGCTCACTTCTGTACAGCCACTGTAGAGGCAATTGAGGCTGAAAAAGGTATGATCAGAGTCTTTGCCATTGGCAGAGATCTGTGGTGTCTGGGAGGGAATTCAAAAGTATTCTGTGTGGGTTTGTTTTACTTTCAACTTGCACAAGCAGAGATGAATCAACTGTATTGATTCATCCCTTTTACATGTAACATTCATTTGTAGCTTTAGGATGATGATTACCTGTATTAATATTTTAAGGAGGTTTTTTCTGTTTTTTTTTTTTTCTTTTTTTCAATACAAAATATGCATAGGTTTCTGTTTTTATTTGTATAATAGCATGTTGTGATATGTGGTGTTGTCTTGAAGTCCTTTAAAATGGTAGTGTTTAATTTTTTTTATGCATTCAACTGCAGGGTTTTTTTCTTCCTTTTTGGAGGGGAAAATACAGGGAAGGAGGGTTGTTTATGCATGCCTCTTATAAAATTTGTTCTTAATGGCTTCAAACATCATTTTTTAAAATTTTCCATAACATATCTGGTAGTGCAAGATGTATAAGTACAAGGTTTGCTTTTCCTGTAGATTTTTAACATAATTTCATGATCAAATTTGCTTCCAGCATATATGCCAATCTGCCAGTAAGAGGCATATTAAATTCTATGGATTATCAGTGCTGCTGTGCTAAAAAATGTTGCTGTGTATACGTCCTTTGTTAGTGGTGCTGACTAGAATGCCATCAAATTATTTGATATTCAAATTATTCAACTTCAGATTGTCACTGACATTTTTCCATAGATACCTTAATTTCCTACTGCTCAGTATTAAGTGAAGTGAATGACAAACAGCATAGCAACTGAGAGAGAGCTACCTCAGTGTGTTCCCAGATTTGGTTACAAACCACTGTTGCACTATTTAATGTTTGCTTTTTTAATTAAGGAAGTCAGATCTTCAAAAGTTTAACAGCAGGCCATGTTCCATTCTCACACACATGTGCAAGAAGTTCTGTTGTTGTGTGTGTAAAGCTGTCTTAACTCTGCAAACAGTAATTTTGTCCCAAAGACTTCAGTCTTACAATGTGGCCAACCATTTTCAGGTCTAAATTCAACCGCAGACCTCATGCATTCAAGTAAATAGTAGCAAAGCAATACTTTAAATGCATAGGTGATTACACGATGCCCTTTCCAAGTGCAGCCCTGACCCGGTGGCTGTGCTTGTGTCCATTTCAGCCATCCACACGATTAGCACAGCACGTGACCCGTATCCCGCAGTTTTGCCTGCATGGAAACTGCAGGATGAGGCGGCGCGTGCAGGATGTAGCTCTGTTCCTATCTCTGTGACCCTCTGCTGCTTTGCCTCCACCGCACTTGCTGTGCTGCCTAGGTCTTGCTGCCGCTGCACTGAGGCCCGCGGGGATGTTACGTGCAGCCCCACGCACTCAGCAGCAAAAGCGATTGGTGTCTAGCTGGCCACGGCAGGGCCGTGCAGAAGCAATCAAGGGGGTCGAAGCCCCTTGATTCCTCCTTGCAGAATATTTGCCATACTCTGTTCTTTTGTCCTTAGTTGAAATCATGATTGCCACTGAATGATTCAGGAAAGGAGATTAGACAAGCTTTTACTAATACAGATACAGAGCCATAAGTTTCTTTGGCTGATTTCTTACTTATTTTTAAAAATCATTGATTAGAAAAAGTATATGCTTTCATTTTATTTTTCCATTACTGACATTTCAAATTTGCATTTTGTTAAGCAATACGAGGATTCTCTCCGCAACATAAAATCTGCAGTTTTGAAGAGGCAAAAGGTTTGGATAGGATCAATGAGCGAATGCCACCAAGGAAAGATGCTCTTCAACAAGATGGTATTAATACTATTAACACAACAAATGCCAACGGAAACAATGGAACTGGCAACAACAATGCACAGTGACCACATCAGCTTCTGGTTTACTCACTTCTGTCTTGCCTGAGAATTCCTCCATTACTGCTTTTTGATGTGACAACAGATGGAACAGCCAGGGGGATCAGCGTGACTACTTAAAGTGAGGTGGAAACCCATCGAGCTTGACCTCGCTGAAGAGCAACCATCCTGCTTTTGAGACAACAGCCCCTCTCTTTATGTGTGACCCCATGTGCTGGGAGCGCCCTTCGTGCATCTACAGAAAATCCACTGCTGGCTGCTCAATCTTGACATCTGGGGAAGTGATTGGGCTGTTATCACTAAAGCACATCTAGACTTAGCATCTTATGCTTATCGTTGTCAACACTTTAAGTTTACAAATGGGATTTTTTAGTAGCGCTAGTTTGTTTGTTTGTTTGTTTTTTAATCAATGTTTCAAATACAACCCTAAGAGCTAACTATTTATTAATGGACATCGGTTTCATGAAATGTCTTTAAAACGATAGATTAGAATGGTCTTAAAATATCTGAGGCTGCGAAACTGCATTTTAAATAGACAGGAAAAAAATGCCAAAAAAAAAAAAATCTCAGTTGGTCATTCTGTAAAATGCTGACCTCAGGTTTACTCCTTAGATGTTGCTAATATTGTATTCACTGTATTTTTTAGTTATGGCTTATCAGAAGATTTTTATGTAGGAATGTTTATTACTTGAACGCAGATTTAAAAAAAAAAATATTTAATTCAGAAACTTTTTGCCCAGCTTTTTCAAGACTCCTCCCAACCTTGAATTTAAAAAAAGAATATTATATATACTAATTTTAAAAGTAAGAAAAATATGGAAATGTTAATTTTAAGGTACTTTTAATTGAACTTTGTACATTATGTCTAAGTAAATTTTGATTCATATCAAGTCTGTAAAGCTTGGCATTGTATTTTGTGTCTGCATGTTTTCATTTTGCAAATATTTAATATATAGACCTATGATGTACATCTATAGGTTATGTAGATGTTATGAGTACTTTTAGTTTATTGTGAGTATTACAGTTGCATAAATAGCTAATAATCACTGGCCTGAGTAGCTGCAAGCTTTTTATTATTTTTAAATCTGTAAAGGAAACTGAAACTGTATTGGACATACTTTCTGTTTAGGCAAAGCAGCGCGTAAGCAATTGCTCTGTTCAACTGCTAAGGCATTAGTGAAAGTGTAAACTTGAACTGCATGTATTTTGGTATCTACAGGACTGCTTGGTTAAAATAAAAATTGAAGCCCTGTGCTGATTTGTTCACAAATAATGGACTGTACCGATTGCCACTGTACTTGGTTAAATATTTTGGCATTTGCTACGTGTCCTTCTCATCCCCTGGAACACAACTTGAAACTTAAGTTCACTAGAGTTCATCTCCCTTTTTTGTTTGCCATAAAGTACGATCTGTACATGCCCCTGTCTAAGTTGGAAATTTTATGCATGTTCTGAACTATTCAAGTATTTTATAAACAGTAGCACACAATAAATTTTGTGCATGGGCTGCGGCTCCTATCATTGTGTATTGCTTTTATTTGGAATCCTTGGGTCTAATCTGACCCAGAAAACTAGTTAGAAATTCAAAATTTGAGCTAACAAAAATTCTGAAAGTCACTTGTACCTAGCAAAGAATTAGCATGTAAGGTAAATGACAGCCAGTTAGGAATGCTAGAGGTCTTTTTGTTTCTGCTTTTGAGTTCTTTCTCATTAATTAAAGTAAATTTCATTCTTAGCATTTAAAAATTCTCAGAAATTAAATTTAATTCTCAGCATTTTCTGCTAAACTGGACAAGCCTGGAAGGGCAGCATCAGCTGGTTCTGCAGAAAGGCTGTTCTTTGTAGCTCTCTTCTGTTACTGGTTTGCAGTGAGCATTGAAGAGACCAGAGAAATGTGTTTAGGTTGCTTTTAGGGTGAGAGAATACTGTTTGAAGTTAGTGCAGATAATTTAGTCTTTTTGGTATAGTATCTTAAAAGATAAATATGAGAAGCTGCTGAATAGGATAAGAACGATGATAAAGTAAGATGATAATTGTAAGAAAGTGATACACTATTGCTATTTGGGTTTTAATGTTTGATTTTACTTTATTGTAGATGCATTTTAATTGGAAATAATATTCTTAAAGTCTGAGTGCAGAAGACCAGCTTATACAATGGTAAGTTTTTCTTTTCCTTTTTATAAAGCACAATCATATTAGTGAGCCGTATGCTCTTTGTATGACCTTGTGTTAAAGCAGAACAGTTTAAGTGCAATGAAAGATTTGCATGATGATGATGGTACCATTCTCCTTGACAGTGCTAAGGGAAGATTTCCCAGCTCTCTTAAAACAGTATTTTTCATGATTTGATACGTAGTTTCGATTATTGTGACTGGCTGGAGCTGTGTCTGTGGAGAAGACTTGGTGAGACGCGGACACGTGTTGGTCTGTGCGCTCCGCTGCAGCGGTGCTGCCTTTGGGGTCCTCCTGCAGGACCTCCCGTCTTTGCCCGTTTTGCTGGGTGTGAAGGGAGATGCCTAGTAAAGTATCTTGAGCAGGGGTTGTCAGCCTGTTTAGTCTTCTCACACTGCATCCCTGCTGCTACTTCAGCAGGCAGTCAGTCAGGTAACGGGGTTATATCTGTGCCTTTCTCTGGGTGAAAAGTACGTATTCATTTTTTTTGCTACTGTTTCTGAAAGGTGGAGTCTGGAGCTGTCTCTAATTCTTGCATGGTTGGCGAGCAAAGATGATACCCTCCCTCCTAGCAAACGGTAAGTGCTGGGCTGTTTGCTTTATGCTTTCAGTTATAGGGAAGGAAGAAAAGCTTTCTGTGCCACCTGCTGTTCTCCGTTAAGAGAACAACCCACCGCCGCAGGAGATGTGGTCGGTTCCTGGTTTGAGTGGAGCAGTGAAAGCTTTTCGTCCTCGCAGGGGGCTCGCAGGACCCTGTGTGGGTCTGGGGGGATGTGCCCCTTCCTCCCCGGGACTCCTGCGTTCAAACATTATCTGCAGCCGCTCACCTGCCCGGGAGGCCGGCCCCAAGGCCCGAGCTGCTGCAGGAGGGAGCGGGTTTTTCTCTCGGTGCTGCCACCTGCTGAGCCCAGCACGCAGCAGCAGCCCAGCTTGCTGCTTGTGTGTCAGCAAAACTGAACATCTCGCCGTAACACAGAGGAATGGCATTAGCAAATACAGCCCGAACTGTCCATTTTTTATAGTCATAGGATGCATTACCCAGATTTCAGTACTCTGCTTTGAATGACCAGTAAATGGGTGGGCATATTTTTATTGACACATAGAAAGATGTAGATACACTACTATGCTTTACTAATTAAATACTATTTTTTTTTAACTTGCAAAGAAGTTTGCTCAAGATTGAAGAAAGAAAATTAAAAAGAATCTTGGTTAAGCTTGGGAATGTATTGACACAGTGACTACTGATTCCATGTCAGTGATGATCCAAGTCACACAGAGTGGAATATGTTCTTGTCTACTACAATGTTCTTCTCTTTTGTCCCTATTTAGGCTATTAACTTGACTAATAAGCACATTTAAATTGAAAGATATTTCTAAGTTTTACATCAGAAAAAGTTCCATTTTTATGGCAGAACATTAATATAATTACTTTTTTTGTATAGTAAATTTGACTTTTTTGTAGAAACATGTATTATTTGTCTTGCAGTTGTGAAAGGCTTTACGAGAAATAGTATTTTACTAGAATTACTGCTTTAGTAGAATTAACTCTAAGCATTCTAACTGCTTTCATTCGAGGCTTAATAAAGACAGAGTTTTAGTGTTTTTGTAAGCATGTCTTATAATACTACCTTTATTTGATAAATATTTTGCTAGAAATGTTAGGACACACCTTGCAAGCTCCCGATAAATTTATAGCTGAAAGTCAGATGCAGTTTGGCTTTCTGAAAAACAACTCAAAGCTGTTCTTTGTATTAAAGAGGGTTGTTAGAGAATGGGGCTGTGTTTTTGTAAAATACCTTACAGCAAAGCCTCAGTCTTCTATGTCAGCTCAGCAGAAAAAAAGCTATTTCAGTAAATCTGCTGAATATTAGAGATTCTTCTGAGAATTAGTTTAATAATGCAGGAGTTTGGCAGAGAGGAGGGTGTTGTTTGGGTTAAAAGCACTAAGATATAGGACTAGTAGACAAGATACATCTTTTATTGTACAATAAAGAATATTATGTGCTGTAAATTAAGGCAAATATAAGTGCAAAAAGCTTTTCTGAATCATCAAGAAGGCATTTTTGATTACACAGAGTTTAAAATTATTCTTTTACACACATGGATAGTCAGTGGTTGCATAAAACATGTTATGTCCTTCAGTTTCTTTTAAAAAAGAAAACAAAAAAACAACATAAAATCTTCTATTGGCGAACAATTGCCAGCAGCAAACGTCGGTAGTCACCACTTGTATCACCTGATATCATTGTGGCCAAAGTCTTCTGATACATTTGTGTGAACATCTGTTTAATTTGCACAAGGTCAATCTGTGCGAAGAAGGAAAAAAAAAAAAAAAGGCACAAAGCTTGAGCATTCACTGATTTTAACTCCCAGTCACCCTGCCTGTCCTCTCTCAAATGTTACTTCCTTCGTGGACCACATGTCAGAGGCCAAAAGCACAGTTTATTATAGGTCTTACTAGCTGTGTTTTTTCCCTCTCAAGAGAGACAAGCAGCTCCCAAAGCCAATGGTCCAGCGGTTGGTGCTTTGTTTGTTTGGACCTTGGTCCCCAGTTTGAGTAGTTGGATCTTTCAAGCTCAGAAGCCTTTAAGCTGCTTAATTGCAGAAGCCACCACAAACAGGAAGGGAAGTGAATAGAAATTAAATTACTAGCCAGAAATAATTATTACATGAAATCTTTAAAGCAAATCATTCATCAGTCTTGAGCAGAATAAAAGCTTAAGTGTAAATCATTATTTAGATGGCTTTTAGCTACATGGGAAATCTAAATCCGAAGTCTTTGCATTCTGGAGAGGAGAGAGTTTCTTACCTCACTGCGAGTGACTACAATTCTGATAAGTGTAGAATCATCCGTGCCAGCTCCTTTCATGGAGTAATAAAGTCTTTCTGCAAAAAAGGCTGGACGATTTAAAGCACATTGCACTGCAATAAAATTAATTTTTAAGATTAGTTTCCGTACTGCATGCTGTGTGGTGATAGTTGGCAAGATCAATTCAGGACTTTTACTGTGGACAGCTAGAGCTCGGTTTTGGTAAAGATCCTGTTGTGATGGGTAACAGGAATTGTTTATAGAGTTGGGTTTGGTTTCTAGCTGACCAAGTGATTCCATTCCTAGAGAAGTTATCATTACTAACATCTAACTTTTCTGGAAGAGCTTCTTAAAGTTTGCTGAAATTGTTTATTCCCAAATATGAATTTAAATAGTCCTTCTCCTTGGATAACTGGAGGCAGTTATCTGGATAATGATAGAAGGTTTTTATTTATGCTCCATTGCTAGAGTTTCATAAATACAAGTACAGATGTATAAAGTTGATGAAAAGATCTTGCTCCAGTTAGATTTTTCACATCCAAACACAAGCCTCTGTTCTCTTACAAGACCTTCAGAGATGAGTTCTTCCAAAAGAACTCTTTTGTAGAATATAATCTAGAAATTTTTAATTCAGTGGTTTCCTACCAACTGTAGCTATAGTGTCATCCTCATAAGTGTTGGCAAATTTTAATTCAGTGGTTTTCTACCAATTGTAGCTGTAGAAATAGTGTCATCCTCATAAGTGTTGGCAAGACTGATTTCCATAGAGTACTGGTTCCTTGTCTGAACTACTAGTAAATCATGCTACGTTTAAAATGTTTTACTGTTATAAGCCAGCAAAATGGATGAAATGAACGCTTATTTTCTCCAATTAGGTGCAAAGTGAGTAATCTGAATAATCAAAATTACTTTTCTATTAGCAGATTCTCATATTATGTTTTTCTTTTCTATATGGCCAGCACTGAGTGGGATTCTTCCTGAATGATGTTAAAGGGAGTGATGTTTGAATACCTAAGGAGTAAGGGGAAGGAAAAACTTATCACTTACAAATAGCCTTCAAACCACGCTCCACATTTCCAGAAAATTCTCGGTCAATGCTGCTTAATAAATCCCGATTAGCAATCTAAAAACAAGTAAAATGAATATATGACTAGCGAAATGCAATAACAAATGACACTTTAATTCAAAATAGACCAGCCAAATTCATTTGTAATCAGTGCAGAACCCCTACCTTGGAGTATGCTTCAACTGTTGCTTTCAATTGAGGAAAACTTCTGCTTGCCAGCACCATATTAAAGCAAGATTCATCAGTCCCAAGCTTTCCTTCTCCTGCTTGGTACAGACGCTGAGCATCTTCCTGAGCTTTCTGATAATCCACAGTTTGATTCTCATCCCGATTACCCTGAAGCAAAGACATCAGAGGTGGAATGAAGTTACCCAGAGCAGGCTATGCTTTACGTGCTTGGGGTCTACCCTCCACGCAGTTAGCTTCAAAAAATTAAGCAACTTGAATTAGAGAGAATAACATCATTTTGAAATACTTTAAATTGCTTTAAATCTACTCTTTTGTTCAATATTTCTTACGAGAATAGCATCATTTTAAAATACTTTAAATTGCTTTACATCTACTCTTTTGTTCAATATTTCTTACAAACAGAAAATGGGAAAATGTCTTGGAACTGTCTGTCTCCAGGGCATGCTTTAAACTAGGTATATTGACCAGGATAGTTTCACCTCTATATATTTTCTCCTAATTTTAGTCTTTTTTCAGGAACTGTACTAAATTCTCTTATTCTCTTAATAATAAAAACTTTCTCTCGATTTGCTTCTAGGCTTCAAGTTGCAAGAAATCTTCCCAAATGAACTAACGACTTACCTTACTGAATATGCACATCTCAGCTAGCTCAGGTCTTCTGTTATGAATTTGCCCATTTCAAGTAAGAATGCCTATGGAAAGCACTTTCTGTATTTGTAACGTGGCAGCAGAGCTTATGTGACAGTTTATGTGCTTCGAGGTTTGTCTTTTTGCTAATTGATGCATGGATAGATACTGCTAAATATATTGGTCAAGTAGACTTAATACATATTCTCAAGTACTGTGGTATTTATAGTGGTTAATACATTATTTAAATTGATGTGGTTGTCAGTTACTGTAAAGTACTGCATTTATCAAAATAAAAATTAGCAGCATGAGCTTCTCAACTTTTGCTTTCTTGTGGATTTTGACTTTTTAATCCAAATACCTAGTGATGAGCTGAACTCTCACTAAGGTAGAGGCAAACAAGACACAGAAGTGTCATAGAAATTTCAGCAGTGAATGGAGAGGATTATTAGAGAAATATGGGAAGATGTATTTGCTGCATGTATCTTTCTAAACACTGTTGTTTCTATTCTTTATCTAAAAGAATACCAGTAAACTATACAGTATAATTGGGCTCCCCAGTTCACTGGACTTCAACAGTAGCACACACCTAATTCTAGTGATCTCAGAAAGGGAGGCTCTCATGATGTGGCAGGTAGTTTTGGCCTGCCGTACCTGTTTCTACGTAGCCTAAAGCTGATCCTATCAGATACACCCAAATGATTAAAAAATATACATATATTATAAAGTACACGCACAAAAAACATACATCAGCATGTGGGAGCTTTTCTTCTAGTACCATTTGATTGAATTTGCATAACAAAGTATTTCAAAAATGCATTATCTGAGGTGAATACAGGGGTTTTAACTAGGTTACTCAGTTCATTGCAGATTTCTAGATGAAAAATCTCTCATCCCTCAAGAGGGACTAAAGGACTCGGATCTGGTCAGGAGGGAAGAAATGAATGGGCCAGTGCTAATTTTTTACAGAACCTGACTCTGGCTAAGCATGCACAGGCAATTCATTTGTGCAGCAATTATGAATATATGCAAAGTCAGACTGTTCATCATTACTGTACCAAAACAAACAAAAATACATACAGATAATAGATAATATATATTATCTATATATATATAAAGAATCTATCTGTATAAAGATATATCTATACACACAGAGAGAGAGAGAGAATATAAAGCTCACTTGGCACATGGATATCAATAATCGTTCGAAGTGTCCTGAGGTGTCAGCTCTGATGTCTTGCTCAAGGTCTCTTCCAAATTCTGATTTATAGCAGTTCACTATTTCTCGAATTTCCTGGTTTGTTCTTGTGCAAAGGATCTCGATCAGCACCCTCTCCTGAGTGCCAGCTCCCTGCAGACAGAGGAATAGAAGGCAAGCTGCAGAGCACTCCCTCCCCAGGTATGTTTAACAGTGAAATAAAGCAGGCATTTTTTGTTTTAAAGACTAGTATGATCTACAGTGTCAGACCAGCCCCCTTCCAGTGTGAAGGCACGGCTTTCTGTATATTTAAAATGGAATTAAGATTTCTGAACCATTCAGTTCTGCATCAGTTTAAAAAATACCCACATAATATGCTTCCACAATGATGGTATCAGCCAAATTTAACTGAAAGATGATATAGGAAGGAGATAAATTCTTTGGCAGTCATATTCTGGGAGCCTGCTGGAGCAAGGTAAAGCATTATGGTAGCCTTTAAGGCAGATACAAACTTAAAGCAAATACACATTTAAATTCTGCTTTACTCAGTTTACAAATGCATTCCTGACTCAAAATGTGGCTGCTTCCTCAACATGGAGCACCACCAGGAGCTTTTCGATGATGCCTCGCTGTCCCCTGAATAGAAATTAACTGTTGTTTGTTTCACATCATGTTGGCATGGTCACCTCTATTCAAGCACAGATTAGATAGCAATGGATCTATAGGGGACTTCTAGGCAGTGTTAGAAATGGAAAAAATAAGGAGGGGGTGGGGGGGGCAGGGAGGGCAAGAATGGCTCTTGCCATTCATCATCTGACCAGAAGAAAATATTCTTTTAGCATCCTGCTGAGCTGGAATATTCTAGAAATATTTTCAAAACCAGCGGCTTGTTCCTAGCAAGGAGAGGTCAATACCTTCAATTTATACACAGTTAACTGCTCCCAGACTCCTACTAAGGCCTAGTGCTGCAGCGCTTGGATCCCCTGCTGGAGCAGTGCTCCCCACAGCCAGGCCTGCAGGAATTCGCTGGAACTGGAAGATGCAGCAGTAAAGACATCTAAACCCCACAGTACCCAAATTTGTTTGCCACATTTCTGAATAGGGATGAAGTACTTATTTTTTCTAGATGAGCATTTTAAGATGGTTCTAATCTAATTTGTTCACAGTAAAACTGTACCTTCATTGCATGACGTAAACTCCAGGCATCATAATAGGTGCGAGGCATGAAAAGCGCTAGAATCAGTTCTTCCACATTTCCACTCAACTCAGACTTGAGGTCTTTAATTAAATCCTGTCCAATTATAAACACAAGAAGAGAGTCACAATATGGGGGCAGCTCATTGATCAGAAATTACTTGAAGGGGCAGTTGGAGCAGCAGCTGGATTATGCTTTTATTTACTGATTCAAAAAGCTAGTGACCATACCTTGCCATACATAGTCTTGAAAGCTGCCTTGATCTTTTGCCTCTGATCATTGGAGCGGTTCGCCACAACATCAATGATTGCCTGCTCGTCCGTTCCTTGCAAACGGAAGGGCAATTTCACTTAAGAACTCAATAAACCCTCCAAGGCTGTCCAGTTTGTAATTATACCTTTTGGCATAGTTATACAAATGCATGGCTACTCTTTTTTTCCCATAATTATCTTAGTAACACATTCTGCCAAAGAACCCAAGTCATTTTGACTCACAAGCTCAAGTATGATTAAATAAAAACTGAAGAAAAGAAAGAAAATGGAATAAACACACTAGCTCAATAGAAGTGTACGTTTCTATTACGTACTTACCAAACCCCTTCATAGCTTTGCGCAGAATTTCTGCATCTCTTCCAGCATCAAAGTTTGGAGCAGCTTGAATTGTGCCCTGGGTACACTGAACTGCTGCTGCAGGCTGAGCATAAGGCAGGCATGTATAGCTGGTTATTCTTCACAATACAAATTTGAATTGAAACTTTACAGTTTCAGCTGGAGGAGTTCCTTATTTCCCTGCTTCCTTTCTAATACAAACATTAGTCAGCAAAACTGCATGTCATCCTGCTTCTGAGGGTGCTTATCTGTGCTATGGATAAAGATGTCCTGCAGAGTATCACAGATACTGTGTTACCATTTGGTTCAGGTTGTATTCCGAGTGTGACATTTGGACTTTCTCAGTGCAGGTCTGAGAAAAGAACTGTTCTGCAGCTCACAGAAAATAAGATTTTTCAAGCAGATTTAGATGAAAATTGACACAGAACAGACCAAATAGTTTTTCATTTCCCTAGCTGCAGTGTCAGACTTCACTGCTGCAAAGAGATCTTTTTACACTAAAGAAAAGCTGGTCCCTCTGTAAGCCATTTGATAAAACTAGGACCAGTTGATACTCTTCCAAGTCCACCAAACTTTGTGGGAAAAGCTATGCTAAATTGCCTGTATGCAACTCTGATTGCTTAAATGTAATTATGTTTTCAAATTGCAGATTAGAAAGGAGTAAATCTAAACCCTATTGAAAGCAGTAGCAACAAATTAGTTTTCTGGGCCATCTTTATCCTTTTTGCCTTTAACAAAAAGCCTCAGTAAAACCAGTGAGAAATACAATCCTCTATCACACAGACCATGCCCATATCCCTACCTTCTGTCCCTACTTTCCTCCACACAACCAGCTGTGGATATGCTGCTCTGCCAGCAGACATAACAAGGTGAGAAAACTACAGAAGCCACAGAAGTTTGATTGTAAAAGAGGATACAGCACATACCGGGCCAGGCATTGGTGATGGTGTTTGTCCCCCACCATATCCTACTGAAAAGAAATTTAGAAATAAGATAAAAGGAATTAATTATGTTTCTTATTATTATGCAAATGCTATCTGATTGAAAATGTAACAATTTATAGACTAAGAAGTGATAGCTGTGGCAATGCACAAAACCCAAAATTCCTGAGTAATGAAACCTATAATGATCAGTAACTGAAGTTCTTGCCCTTCAGAAGGGTTGGAAGTACAAGTTAGAGAAGCGTTCGGGTATAAACATCAGCAAAGCAATGCTAAAAATGCTAAATTTACTGATGCTATGGTAGCTGGTAGGATCTCTCCTCATTAAATGTTGGTATCCTAGATATACCAAGTCTTGTCAAGTAAGGTGATAGGCCATGTACAGCACATGAACCTCACCAGCTAGAAGAGAGGGCCTAACCCGTAACTGCCTATCTTGGAATATCCTGCTGCAACTTGGGATGCTTAAAATTTCTTATCTAGAATAGTGACACACACGCCGTACCTGGGATTTGCGCTGGTCCGCCTCCAGCATAGCTTTGGGCCGGAGGCTGAGGAAAGCCACCAAAGCCAGGGCCAGCGGGAGGCACGCCAAAGCCGGGGCCTGCAGGAGCTGGGAGAACAGGAAAGATTTTAGCACACTGTTTCACCCATAAGCTGGGCTACTGATCAGAATTAGGCAAGAGATTAATGGCAACCTATCACTTCTTTTCTCTGTCTTTGCAGTGGCCAGCAACCCAAAGGCGTCAAGCTCCTGCTGTCAACGAACAAGTGTTTCCTGGTGCATGTCAGTCTGCCTGGCTGTCTAACCACTACCCCGTGAGGTGATTACTGAGCACATCTGTTTTTCTTCACTCCTCCTACCGGCCCCAGGGAGCCGCTACAACAGAACTGCCGCCGAGGGACGCTACCTCCAGGGTAAGGTGGCATTCCTCCAGGCTGGGGCGCTGCGGGGTAGCCCCCGGGCGCGGGGTAGCCCCCTGGCGCGGGATATCCTGCTGCCCCGGGATAGCCGGCACTCGGTGGGGCTGCAGGATAGGCCCCCCCTCCTGCTGGAGGGTATCCTCCAGGAACGGCCGGATAGGAGTACTGGCCGGCTGGCGGGTAGGCAGGCTCTTGACCTGTTGGCTGGAAGAAAAATGGGGTGTTTGTGTATCTGTTAACAGGACATGAGGATAAAACCGCTCAAGCTACCAAAACGTCTGCATACATCATCATGGGATCAGACTAAGCACGTGAAACAGCAGCAGAACTCCCAGGGCCTGCACGGGAGGGCTTCCTGCTGTGCCCCCCTGGTTGAAACAGCCCTTGCACCCACTCAGAGGGAGCTGCAGGGGGAGGCACCTCTGGAAGCTGCTGGCCCCATCCCCTTCCAGAGCAGCGCCAGCTCCAAAGTTAGAGGAGGTTGCTCAGGGCCATGGCAAGTTTTGAACTTGAAATCTCCGAGGACAGTGACTCCACAGCCTCTCTGCTTCTAGAGTTCAACCACTCCAGTGTGGACAGGGTTTTCCTGAATCCCATTACAGTTGCCCTTGCTGCAGCCCATGCTTGCTGCCTGCTGCTCTTTCACATTGCACCTCTGAGAAAAGCCTGCTTCCAGTTCCCCGGCTCATCTCAAATGTGAAGTCATCTTCAGGGATGGGGGAATGAAAAGCAAGAGCATAATATACAGGGCACATACCTTGTGTGAACTGACAGCTGGCATTTACACAAGCACAGCAAGAGTGGGTATTCACAGTTTATAAGTATATTAGGAATGCAACACATTTAAGAACCATACTTACAGGATAACCAGGGAAACCAGGATAGCCTGAAGGGGGATAACCTGGGTACGACATTCTGGAAAAGAAAGAGATTTTCACTGGTACAGTACTATATATGAGTTTGTAGAATTGATTGCTTTCTAATTAATTACCTGTTACATCACTTGATTAATACATTTGTATGTTCAGTAGTACTCAGGAGTACTCCTAAGCTACTAACCCCACAAAAACCTTTCCTTTCTTTACACAAATGGCAAGCAAGCTTGCAAGTAGCAAGCAGGATTCAGAAGAGAAGTATCATCAATTCTCTTATTACCTGCCATCCTTGCTTAGGGTCAGTTAATTACCCTAAGTATCATAAGAGGCCTCCACGAAAAATTCTGAAATATGGGGTTATGGACCTTGAAGTGCTTGAGGCAGGGCAGAAGTGGGGCCTTTTTCAAGTCTAACACTTCTGTTTCTGTTCTACCATAGGGCTTGGGTGTTTCCCCCTTCCTTTGAGCACTCATTTTCTCCCACCCTGCATGCCTTCCTTCATTGGAATATTTCCTGGAAGAGTAGCATCCTACCTATTCCTGTGTAAAAAGGTAATTTGATAGAAATGTAGTTTTAATTATTAACTGCTTTTGTCTACATTTATGAAATAGATGCATGCAGTGCTAAATAGTGACTAACAATTAGAAAGATCAAATAATTTGATTAAACCAAAAAGTAGAATAATGCTTACATTGTGCAATTTGCAAGGAAGCTTTGGGCTGTGGCAGAATGGTTATCTGAGAAGCTTCACAGAATGAGATTAGTTGGAGTTCAGAAACCACCCAGTGAAGTGCAATTTGGGGGGTGAAAACAAACATAGCAAAAATCAGCCCGGCTGTTACAAGAACGTCATCAGAATAGGCTTACTACCAAGTCATAACTGTGTGCTCAAGCATGCGAGGGACAGGGTGACTCACAAACCTTATTTCAGTCACTTTGAACTTTAAGTTACTTTCAGGATTTCACAATCCCTCTGATTCCTGCTTTAGTTTAGTTCCTAAACTAAAGAAATGACTCTGTAACCAACACAGAGCCTCCTGCAGAATTAAACTGCACCATAGAATGCTAAGTGCCTTATTAAAAGGGGTGTAAAGATCTGACTCTTAATTCAAAGTGGCTATATAAAAATAAGAAAACTACATAAATACCAGTTTATTAGCTATATGCATTTAAAGCTATCGGCGTAACGTAAACTTACATGAAAGGCATGCAAGAAATGGGAGAAAAAGTTCAGGCAAAAGACAAATGCCTGCTTTTTCAGCATGCATGAATCTCATCATTTAACTGACTCTTCTGCCAAAAATGTCCTCCTACATGGGAAACATTCACATTTCTCACCTAAGGGTCCCTGGAGAGGGAAAGTGAGTGGAAAACATGCTGGGGTGGAGAGATCCCTGCACAGAAACCACCTTCAAAGTGGTGGAGAGCTGCTCGGGCTGGGAAGGGACGGTCAGTTCTCTGTTTAAAGACTCTTTAAAGGTCACTAGGGCTGTTATTTTATCATCTCTTCCTGGACAAGGAGTGAGTTTAACCTCTTTATGAGTACTCTGTGCAGCTGGAATTATTTTTCTTTTACTTCCAAATATTAACACCCTTGTGCTTGAACAGAAATAATGAACCAGGAAGTATCAGGGTAAACCCAGTTTGTCAACTTCCAAAACATTCCCCTTTACCCCATATTTTATCTGCCATACCCAGTATTATTCCATTTGTGTAGAAAACGTCTGTTTCCTGACAGTAAGGCCCATTTTTAATAGAGGGACTCGAGAGAGAAGGAATGGAGAGGATAGGGCTTGGCCATGTTTCCATTTGTTTGGGCAGTTTCAAGGTCATCAGCCCAGCTAATGAACACTTAATGGCAGAAGGAAAAAATCATGTTAATGCTGACCAGTAAGATCCCCCAATCAGGGATTGGAAATTACTTACTTTATGTTCATACGACAACACATAAACATCTGCACAAATCAAGGGAAACGGGATAAATAAGAAAGGACACAATACAGCTAATGATTGTTCAGTGTTAATAGGTATTCCCTGAACCAAAGTGCAGATCTGAAAACAGTATTCTTATTGTGGTGTACCATGAAGGCAACAGTTGTTTCGAGAAGTAAACATCCCAGAATTAATGTGGAAGACATTGAAAATGAGAGTACATTACTTCAAATAAACACTGAAACAAGATTTTATAGAAGTACAACTGTGCAGGCTGTAAATTAAACTTCATTTAATTTACATTTTTGATTTTACATTTTAATTACATTTTTAAGTACACTGAAGTTTTGGCTTATTAGTAAGATAATGTAAAATGCTTAAGGTGAACGTTTCCAACATTTCATTTTCAATCAAGAAGCTATCAGAGCTATCCCATATTTTTGATTCTTACTTAAGAATTACTGAAACAGCTCTCTGTATACACACGTGCTCTTCAGGAGATAAAGTAAATCACACAATATTAAATGTTTATCAGCTATAATCCAGCTACTTCCACAGCACAAAGCCTCACTTATCTCAGTGTACCCAGAAGGAAAACAGAGGCTCTACCAGTACTACTTTTATAACCGAAGCGAGAACACATTTGCCCAGGAGAATTTGTTCTGAACAGATTCAGTTTTTCCACGCCGCTTTTCCTCAGCAGCGAGCCAGTCACGCGAAGCGGCTCTGCGCTGCGCACATCTGGGGCATTTTAAGACCTGCCCAGTGAGTCATCAGGTCGCCCTGGCCAAGCCCGCTTCGGGACGTTTAAAGCCCGGCTCGGCTCGGCTCGGCGCCTCGCTCGGGGGTTTTGCCCTTTCCGGGGGCCAGTCCGAAGCGGCCCCTCGAGGTTCGGGGCGGCGCCCC